GGGGGGGGGGGGGGGGGGGGGGGGGGGGGGGGGGGGGACACCGTGGAAGACGGCGTATCTACCGTTCTATGGAGTTTTAATGCCTTTTTTACACATTCAAATTTTAAGTTCATGTATCGTGATTTTATCAACAACAAAAAAATCATTTTTAATCTATCTCATTTCATTTATTTTTACCTTGTTCATATACAAAAGATCTACGAAAATGTATTCTCATGTTTCCCCAAGAGCTGTCCGGTTTGGGGAAAATGGAATTACTATTTAAGTGGCTCTACATGCACTGGGGGAAACATGGAATAGCAACACACATATAAATGTATACAGTATATACATATATATATGTATATATATTAAGTCACTATGACTCAGGAGTCAGTAATTTCAACATAAAATAAATCTATATATTATATACAAGACATAAAATACAAATAAAATAAGACTTCAAAATGGATAAGTCATTAAAATGAAAGTTAAAATTTAAAATTTTAAAATTAAGTGGGAAAAATAAGTAATAAAATACTTTATATAAGAAACCGACACTTTATATAAGAAACCGATATATACATATATATCAAGGGGGATAGCAAATACGAAATTAGGAGGTATTAGTTACCAGGGCTGGAGGGGGGTATGGGGTTGTGAGGCGTTACACCCCAGTTAGGTCATTTAGTCACTAGATAATCCCCTATCACTACAGAACATGGGTAGTTGCATGTGTTTCGAGGCTAACGTGAAGGAGTTCTCCCCGATGTATATCTCTTAGCTAAATGATCCATGGCACCATGGCACACTACTGGGTACTGATTATTTGACTGCTGATAGTCTTTCCACACCCCACCCCACCCTCTCCCCTCCAGCAAAAAGGATCTGCTATTGTAGAGCTTAGCCTAGGCCTATTTAATAAATAAAGAAAGTAAAAACAATAGAAACTATGCTGTATTTTAAAATAGTCCAACTGCGCCACATCTCCCAAGTCCTGGCCTAAGCTAGTATTTGTTGTGCACGTAGGTTTACCTTATAGTCCGGGCCCATGACTTAAGGGCGTTTTTTTGTAAAAAGTAATTTTTGTAAAGCTTATCAGAAAATCACCGTGCCAAATATTAAAGATCAATCAAATACAACCTAAAATTATTTATGGCGTTAAAGGTTTAAGAGGGATTTGCCACTTGCACCCCTACTAGGGACTCTTCCCTAAGACTTTTACTCAGTTCGCATATTCATGCACCCCTCTTTCTTACTGGGCTGAATCCGAGCATCAATTCAGAATCTGAATGCCAATACGCCAATATTCAAATCTGATTAATTTTATAATGAATTTTATACAACAGAAATTCATTGCTTACCGATTAGGCCACCATACTGCACTGGAGGTCCTATCTTACTCAAGCCTCAGGATACAATTACAATAGGCCTACATTAAGTACTGTATTTGAATTTATAACACTATCAACGTCTCATACTTCTGGCACTTACTAATACCCTACATCCTACCTTCACAATGATTAACACAGGGAACAATATTTCAGAAAAATATCAAATTTATATTGCACCATTCCAACAATCGAATACAGTGGAATAGATGTTGCACTTTTCAGTGCTCTCCTCCCCTGGGGGTCACTTCATGTCTAACTCATATATTTCTTGATTTTAACTTTAGGTAATTGCGCATTTGTGCATTGTAATTAAGCTTGAGGAGAAAGAAGGAATACCATGGAGTCCATTTCCGATCCTGGAATTCAATACATTTATGATGAAATCAAATTATGTAATCAAAACAATAAAAGTCGTACATTGTTCCAGATTCCAGTAGTATTTTTTATGTATAATGCTTGGACTTCAAACTCATTATATGTATATAATGCACACGTGTTATCATGTCAAGTTCAATTATATATAAATAACCATTGAGGTCAAGTGCCATTATTTATAAATGATGACATCATAGGAAGGCTTGGTTTTATTCGTTATGCAAATTACCAAGTAACAAATATTCATCAGTGCTTTAAAGTTACAATTAGGGCCAATTGTGTGTGGTCTACAGATCGCAGACCATCATTTATCGAAAATGACACAGCAAGGGATATGCCTACAGGATTATTGAATCCAGTGGTGATGCCAGAAGGGGGGGGGGGAGTGGGGCTGAAGGGGCTATAGCCCCCGTCAGGGAAGACAAGTAAAGTTTGTTGGGGAATAAACAAATAAAAACAAAATTTACATGTAACGTTCGCTTAGCCACCATATTTTTTCATAGAACTATGGTATTTGTTATAAGCATAAATGTTACCCACTACCCCAAAAACTGTTGTTGATTACAAATTTCTCGGATCATAAACATTGACAATAGTACAGTACATAATGCATTTTAATTTTTTTCTTGTTAACCTCAATTTTTGTATTCCATATGTCAATAACTACAAAAAAACATAATTTGTACCAAATACATCCAAAATTAGCCATGACACTGAAGTTTATTGATATTTTATAAAAAAATGTGCATTTTAGAAAAAGGTCGATGACCTTTTGACCTCTAGCAACGTTAATAATTTTCAGATTAATTTTGACATGAACACTTAATTTAACCGAGTGGATTGTGCCAAATAATATTGACCAGAATAGTTTTTGGCATGTCCAAGGTAACAGAGCTTATTTTTTAAATTAAACTACAAAATTTTGAAATAGGAGCATTTGAGACTAATTTATAATTTTAAGAGGAATGACTAATAATTTAGGTATATCAGCCAGGTAGCAACCACAAAAGTGTATAGACTTAAGCTACAAATTCTGGTTAGTAGTAGCTGATTGTGAACTGACCAGAAAAAATTTCCTGGGAGAACTTTACCGACATGAACATTTAATTTAACTGAGTGGATTGTGCCAAGTAATATTGACCAGAATAGTTTTTGGCATGTCCAAGGTAACAGAGCTGATTTTATTTATTTAAACTTACCACTGACAGTATAAATTGCAAAAGGAGGGTAGCCAGTGATTGAGAGGGCACACAGGTACAAAAAAAAACCTAAAAAAGCCCAAACCATATTATTGCACATAAAATTACAACCACAGGAAAACAAATTTAAACTACTTTATAATAAAGAATTTTAACAATATACTGTACTGTAAACAGATATATAGACAAATTTCATTTGACTTAAAGCGGACACTTGGCACAGCGGCAACAGGTAACCCATGTGCAGACACTGTCCACACAGAACTGGTTGCTCAGTAGCACATAATAGTCGGATTAAATGCCTTGGTTAAAATTGAAATACTGGAGTGACACATTTACAATAATTTCAACTTTTGAACAGGAAACCTATTCTCTACCAACAATCAAATTCCAAATATTCATTACTGCTACAGTACTTCGTTCCCCACCATCCTAGATACACCAATGATTATGAATGTTATTCCTTGACAGTTGATAAAAATTAAATATCTTCAAATCTAAAATCTGGTTGAACAAAAGTTTATGTGCTGCTAAAATGTAACCAGTGAATGTCTCATTAATAAGCACAACCATCCATATTTTTATAAAATATATTAAAAATATGCATTTTCCTGGTGGAAAGAAGTACGCAATATCAAAAAGAGCTTTAGAGCTAGCCATACACTAACTAGTTTCTAGATAGAGAAGGTGATCGAAATAAAGCCCTCATGCAATTTTTTTCATGCATTAATCTAACCTTTATGCAATAATTTCTATGTACAGAAGCTATGGTTTAAAACTATAATAATTGCTTATTATTATTAATTGATTGTGGAGTAAATGGGGTATATTGAATACTGTAGCTTGTCAGTTAAAATATGCCTTCTAATTCTAGGGTGCTAGGTTCAATTCCTGTGACAGTAGATTTTTCTCATAACACAAACAACTCCAATCGCTAATTATCATTATGAGCCTCTCAACTACTGTAAGCCTCCTGATAAGACCCAGTTATGCTATAATAACTAAAAATCCAGTTACTTCCACTGCTTTAACATACAATCCAAATATAATATGTAATTAGTTTTCATGCACAAACATGTTGTATTATCATTTATACTGAGACATGTTTTGTCATTTTAAATTAAGTATACATGATTGGATATATGGCAAATATAATAGGCTCACTTTAAATTGTAGACTCCTTTTTACATGAGATAGGTCAATGTGAACTGGGTCTTGCATATGAAGAAGACCAGGTTAGTTAGCAAGAAGCTGTACATGCAAGAGCTATTAATCAAAACAACCAAAATGTGATAAATACAAAGAGAAATCTTCCCTATAATCATTTATCTATAATCTGTACAGGTGTCAGCTACCATAACAGTACCCAACCAAGTTTGAGGCTTTTATCTCTTGCTTTGTAACATACAAGGTACTATATAAATCCTTAATAAAACAGATATTTTTGTAGATCCTAAAAAAGCAATATTCGTGTTACATGTAATTTACAAATTAAAATTAACACACTTGACACCT